GCTTCTATTACCTAATTAACTTATAAACTAATATCTACTTTCGTTAAAATTAATAACTCTATTGTAAACAATTTTACGATTGAAATTTTTTACAATAATCGTACGAATAAAATTAGTGTTGAATTGAAGTCACGTTAATAGAAATATGATATTATTTTGACTAGTTCAAATTAAAATTATTTCTAGTAATTTTTATGTTATGTTATTTGAAATATATAGTCTTGCTTGGATAACATGTATTATCTCATTAAAGAGACGTCATTTTATAAAAATAATAAAAATAAAATGACCTTACGTTGTATCTTTTGTCAATGATAATCCAAAAGACAGATTTTTCGAATCAGAAAATATACACAGGGGCATTTGTCCCGCGAAGTTTGCAATATTTGTGACAGCACCGGCTTTTAACAGTGCTTTTTTCACTGACGTACAATCATTATCTACTGCATGAAACAAAGGCGTCCGTCCCGATTTCATATCCTTTAGATCTATAGTCGCACCGGCTGCCAAAAGCGCTTTGACCCCTTTCAAATTGCCACGCATACTACAATAATGCAATGCCGCGAGACCTTGGAAAAGAAATAAATACGTGTTAACGAGAATATTTTGTGAGATCAGTTCTAAAATTTTCTCTTACACATATATTAATCTTACCTTCTGAATCAATTTGATCAAGCAATTTTGGATCCGAGATTCGGCTAACAAGCATCGATAACAACGGTGATGAACGCTTGCTAGCTATAATCACTGCTGATTCATGTAAGGATTTCGGGATCACTGGTTGTGCTCCAGTATCGAGTAAGAGCTTCACGATCTCGCTACATACGTCATATTTGATCGCCAATTCCAAACTCGTCTGTAGGACATAAAACAATTATGTATCACGACTTTTGAAATAAGATAAAATTAAATTCGAAATTAGAGGAAATAAACTCACCATTCCATTTTCAGTTAATATATCAATGCTTTGTTTGTAATATTGAAGTACCATTAATTGTCTCTGAACAAGATAGATGTTATCACTTACGACTGCGTTATGTATATTCAACATACCGTTTTGATCATATCGTTTAACATTTTCAAAGTCTCTCTGTAGATGCTCCAAAAGACTATTACATCTTACTCTCGTCATCGATAAAGTCTCCTTCATTTTAAGTGCATCTGAATCCTCTTTCCAAAATTGTTCCATAAAACTATCTAAATCAAAAGGACTTTCTTGCTCAATTACGTTAGAGTCTTTAGATATAGAATTATTAGAATGTGGATTATTTACTAATAGATTTTCATCATTAGGCATATCGTAAAGAGTAATCTGATTTAGCCTATGAATGTCATTCAAGTCCTTGTTTATTAATATAAAGGATTTGGGATCGAGTAATCCAAACACTACGGTTTGTACCTGCGTGTCATGTACAGCTTTGTGGTCTTCTGGTGGAGGTATCGGAACATGTCTCTCAATTCCAATGCCACAATCTGCCAAAGCCTTGAGCGCCAGCTCACGTAACTCGTTGTCTCTTACACTGTCCATCGCTTTTTTTATAATATTCAATCGATCTGACAAATTTTTTTGCGGCAAATCTTTAGAACAATCCTTGCTCTGTACATTTGATTGCATGTTTGTACTAACATCTTTAATTTGTCGTGATTCTGAAATTGGTCGCACATAACTGTCAATGACTACTTTATCATTTCGAAATTCTGCCTTTGAATGTTTACTCTGTGTATTGTCATGCTTTGTATTGTGTCTAAGTATACTACGACTTGTGACATTTGTTATATTTTTAATACTTCCAGATGCCAAAGAGGTTTTACATTTCTGTGTCAAAGTTGCATTCTGATTGAACGTAGAAGCTTTATTATTGGGTATAATTGTCATAACATTTTGTGTTTTTTCAGATACTGCTTTAGAAACTATGTCAGACTTTATTTCATGTGAATTATTTGTATCATATGAAATATCATTTTTAGCAAAGCTTTTTCTACTATTTTGATTTAAATTGCTATCAGTCTGATTACATCTTTGCACAAGATTTGTTGCACTCTTCAGAGATGTAACTATCTTTCCATTTTCCGTTTTCTTTATAGTAGCGATACATTTTCCCTTACTTATTTTAAGACTTTCCCCAGACAATGGTATGTTATTCTTATCACTAGAATTTATTTTATGCTTCTTTTTACTTGCAGGACATGGTAATTCTATAATATCATTAGACAATGTTTTCGTGAAAGACATTTCATTATTTTCAGTTGTCAGAATTTTTGTTTGATTACGAATGTCTGTATCATTAATTCCATAGTATATTATGTATTTCTGATTACTGTTATTAATAGTTTGACATATAGGATGTTTAGAAATTTTAGCTATAGAATGTGCCTTATCAGCATTAACACTATTATTAGGCATTTGTTTTTCTACTTCTTTCAAATTTTGACTATTTAAAAGCTTTTTATCTTTAGTTGTAGATTTTTGTTGATGCAATACGTTGGTATTATTTATCCAGGGGATAGTCCTGCTGCAAGGCATCACTTCCATCAAATTTCTCCTTGGAATTTTTGAGGAATCTTGTCTAAGTATTCGTGGAATTGATTTTGCAGGAAAGACTGGAGATAACGGGAGTGTCAGTGGCTTATCATTAGGTTTGCAATTAGACTTGGTAATCGTAATAGTGTTTCCTTTTGATGAATCAGCAGAGCACATCTTTACGTTAAATTCTCCCAGATCTCTCCCACCTGGAGATAAAATTCTCAGCTTCTGTAGATTACATGGAACTTGGTTCTCCACATTGGATGATACCTTCACTGTATCTGGACACATAATAGTCGGCGTGGTAGGCTCAGCGATATTTAAATTACTCTTCATAGCTTGTTTTATCGTACTAGGAAACTGTTGCGGTAACTGGAATTGTCGTACACATTCCAATGGCCGCATTTTACTCCCGTTCGTCGAAATACACCTCTTCTTCACCGGCGTTGGTTCCGGCGGACTGTCCATTTACAGTCGCGATCCACAAAACGTCGACATAAAGCTTATTCCCGATGACTTCGCGCCACTTGTATCGATCTCACAGTGAAATCCCCTCAGAAGTATAACCTGTATTGAACAAATGATGGAATTTAGAATGAAAACTTTCTCTGTGAGATAATAAATACGTAGAAAATTCAACAAACTCGATCGCCGGAACAACTTATCAGCATCAGTTGTACATGTATGCAATAATAAGAGAAAAAGAAAGTACTATTAAAAGGGGACATCCATGGGCCATCCCCTTAATTTACGATCGTCCACAATCGGCAGACGGCACTTCTGCCCGACACATAAATTTCAGCGCACATGCATTGCGTGCAAGAATGTGATCAACTTAGGGTGAAATCACACGGTACGGAAATCGACATGCGGAACAGAGGATGCGTGATTAAGATTAGAACAGCCAATCGTGGGAAAGAAAAATGCGGAAGAACACTGATTGGCTGTTCGAATCACGCATCTTCTGTCTCGCATGCTAATTCCCGTTTACCGTGTGATTTCACCCTTAGAGTAAAATCACACGGAATAGGACTGCGAAATAGAGAATGCGTCATTGAAGCAACCGATTCGCACTATTCTGCATTTGATGCTGCAGAATAGAAAGTGTGTCATTGTTCTTGTAATAAATCGTCGTATTTTGAGAGGTTAAAATAATTTGATGCTGATTGATATGATGAAATTGCGTAATGTTGAGACGAATGAAGCAAAATGACCTGAGTGCATCTGAGTGCATCAAGATAAAAAAAACAATGACGCATTATGTGCGATTTTAGTGTACTCTTTTCCGAAAAATGATAGTAAATGTATTAAAGTAATTCAAAAAATTGTTATGAGATTGTAAATATTAATTGTAAAACATTAAATACTACAATAGTAATAATTGGTTTTACAATTTTTTAAATTATATTTCATTTTAATAAGCAAATTATTAACATAAAGTTAATAATTTTAAAATTATATTCATGCTGGATACATCTTTGACGTATCATGTGAACATAGCACAAAAAACTTGCGTGATGAAAAAGCGGAATAGCGCTGATTGGTTACTTTAATGGCATTCTTTATTCCGCAGTGTGTGATATCATCCTTAGGATGCGTTCCCATGGGATGCGGAAGTGCTGATTGCGGAACGTTCGTGATTGGTTGTGGCTTTATTCCGCCGATTTCATTTCGTTAAAATGTGTTTTCCTATGTTCCATTGAGCGGAATTTGCGGTATGCGCAATTAGCTCTGATCAATCGCAAGAATCTTCTCGTATAGATCACTTTCATTACATTTACCAGAATTGGTCTAGTCTACATCGTGCACTCTACGGGTACAGTATAAGTATTGTACATACAGTATGGACACTGAACTTTTTATGTGGTCCTCAATTTTTAGTGCGCACGCGTCGATTTTCAACCAGGAATGTGTGCTGCCTTCAGCAAGTTGAAATTACAAGTTAGGTTAGCTAATTTATGGAAGCTCCTTTCCATAAAATATTGTATAATAATACGCCTTTCGCCTACAATATGAGATTCATGGTAAGGAGATCGGGAAGAGAACCAAACATGATTATCACGGTTGAGAGCCGTGGTACGTCGTTCGTACAAAGCTTAATTTTTTGTAATTTCTAAGAGAAAAGTATGGCAAAGGGTTAATAAAATTAAATTTCACTAAAAAATTAAATCAAATTTTTTCGGAAATGCTATATTGTGTAGACTGTTATATTTGTATACGACAAAGTATTTTCGTAATAAAGTATGCATGAATGCGTGCGTGTTTGTACGTATATTATTAAATTACAACTTCACATTTAATTACAATTTCCAAGCAATATATTATTTTTTCATACATAATTATTTAATTACAATTTTCATATAGTACTTAATCAATTATTATTTCTAATTTACTTATTGTTTAATATTATTATTATTATTAATGTAAATATTATTTTTATATAATCAGTTTGTTTTGATATTATCCATCGATACGAAATAAGATCTTGTTTTTTGACTGCTTGCAAAACGTTGTACAACAAACTTAGAGTTTCTAGAAAAACAGAGTCTGATCGATGATTCATATTTTTTTTTTTAATACGAGCCGAAATATGAAATCAAAACAAAAAAGTCCAGCAGGGTTAACAAAAGTTCTAGGGATTCTATACCATGTTATCCCTTTCGATATGCGAGCCCTGGAACGAAGCAGGCGCCCTCATCATCAACGAGCCCGGTTTACAAATTACGGTTATGAGGTTATCATCGTCAGCATTACGGACGTGAGAGCTCAACATCGTCGTCACGTCACCGTCATCGTCGCCGCCGTCGCATCGGTCGCATCTTATATTGTCTTATAAGCGATGGAGTGCGAATAATCCCCGGCGACGATGCTGCGTAATGTCGATCGCTCTTCTCCACAGTCGGTTACCAATTACAGCTCGCGTCAAAGTCAAACTAGTGCCCGTCAGGCACGGCCCCGCGGAACGTCGGTCGCGTCGTTCTTGCCGTCGTCGCCGCCACCACTCCGCCGCGTATGATTCATAAGGACCGAGCTCAGGGTTGTGTTCAGGTACGGCGGTAACACATCTCTTTTTCTCTCGCGTCTCTCTTTTAGAATAATCTAAAATCTGCTCCGGAAATTGAGCACTTTACACAATCTCTGTTCTACTCCGGAGGATTAATAAGATTTAGACATTGTCTGAGATTTCGGATGAACACCGCGCAAATTCGGGGGAAATCGCAGAGTGATTACGCTCCCACAGCGAGAATTTGCACAAAATTATGTGTATTAATGATGTTTCTAACAATACATGACATACGAACTATGACAGAATGTGACAGTTTCTGATTATTCGAGCACATGGGTATGAAACTATCGTAATATTATTGTTTCACACCTCGCAAAATTGCTGAATATTATTGATAATTGTTTAAAATAGTGATTGTAGATAATTCTGTATCTTATATATATCTTTTTCAAAGTAGAATTAATATTTTAATAAAGATGATTAATAATATATTATTAATTATTTTTGCAACAAGAAATTTTGTCGTAAAACTATTGTTATTTTTATTTTTAAAATGTATATATTATAAAAAGATATAATCTTTCTAATTAGAAAAAAGAAAATTTTGATATCTTGTAAAATGAAGGATTATGTCTCCCTATTCTTCTTCTATCATTGATATTAATTTAATATGTTTTTATAAAATATGAGCTGTGTACAATGCAAGTATTGTGATATAATATTTTTATTTTGTTATTAATTATTGTCAGTTTAAAATAATAATTTTAGATAATTCTGTATGTATCTTGTATGTATTTTTTAAAGTAAAAAAATTAATGTTTTAGTAAATGTGATTATTAACTATCTTTGCAACAAAAAGTTTGCTAAACTATCATTTTTATTTTTAAAATGTATGTATTTGTAAATGTATGTAAATGTAAGATATAATTTAACAAAAAAAAAATTAGAAAAAATAAAGAAAAATTTTGATATCTTATAAAGATTATGCCTTCCTAAATTTCTACTTTCATTGATGCATTAATTTATTATATTAAAAAAATAGGCTGTATTATTCAAGCATTATGATATAATATTTTTGTTAAAGGGACAAAAGCCAAATTTCATATATTCGGAGATGCTGGAAGTTGGTTTGCGAGTTGTCCGTGGCCAAGACTGGAAATGGGACGATCAGGATGGTGGAGAAGGTCATGCTGGGACAATAGTGGAAATCGGTAGACCTCCCTCCGCAGGGAACTCAACCTCTAGTCCAAATCCCACTGATCGGACGCCAGACAAGACAGTCATCGTTCAATGGGATCATGGCGCTAGGAGTAATTACAGAATCGGATATCAAGGTGCTTATGATTTATTGGTGTTTGATAATGCAGCTGCTGGCGTCAAGCACTCCAACATCATCTGCGACGGTTGCAAAAGACATGGAATAATTGGTATCAGGTGGAAGTGCACGGAGTGTTTTGACTATGATCTCTGCACGCAATGTTACATGGCCGACGTACATGAGTTAACTCACACTTTTGAGAGATATCAAACAACAAATTCTGTAGGGTAAGCATTCACGATTCCAATGAAATTTGTATTCCTTATCCTGACTATCTATAATAATAGAATAATTGTAATTGAGCGCAGAGTTCGTCTGGAGCCAAGAGAAGGCTGCACAAAGATACCTCTGAAAGGGATCTTCATAGGAGCAAAAGTCATTCGTGGACCAGATTGGGAATGGGGAAATCAGGATGGTGGACGTGGTATTTACATTTTATTTAAATTAATTGAATTATATGAATTAATTGAATTATATTATATAATCATGAATTACATAATCATCATCTAATTTCCTTCGAATATTTCAGGAAAAACCGGCAGAGTTATGGACATACGTGGATGGGACAACGAAAGCAGTCGGTCCGTCGCAACCGTTACGTGGTCCACGGGTAGCACTAACGTCTATCGATTAGGTTTCAAAGGTTGCGTGGACTTGTGTTACGTGGAGGAGGCTAATGCTGGCATTTATTACAAGGAACATCTTCCGTTACTCGGCCAACCGGTCTTAACTGTACCGGATAATGGAAACGGCACAACACCGACAAAGAGTGGTGTCACAAACATCACGTCTAGTCCCCATCCTCTAATGTTTAACGTCGGCGACAAGGTGAAAGTTTTAATGGAAGTTGATACATTAAAGGAGATGCAAGACGGTCATGGCGGATGGAATCCGCGTATGGCCGAATACATAGGAAAGGTATTTCGTAAAAATGATCACAATCGTTAACATTCATTAATGTCAATTGAAGTTTAAATCTCACGATGCATTTTTTCTGTTTTAGTAAATTATTAGAAATTTTATGTTTTATGTGATACAATTGTAGTTTGCTCTAAAACGCAAGCAATTCAGCGAGAGAAAATGCATTATGTGCTGCTGGCTTAATTTTAGATTTCTTGGATCTCTGTTTTGTCTTTCTAGACAGAGAAAAATACTTCAATTAATATTGATTAGCAGTTGTTGAGAGATACGTTAAACATATTTAATATGAGATGTGTATCGTGTAATTTAACTTTCTAATTTGAAATCTAGATTGGCACGGTACATCGAATTACGGACAAGGGAGATGTTCGCGTGCAGTACGAAGGCTGCCACAATAGATGGACTTTCCATCCAGGTGCTCTGACGAAAGTTACCGCCAAGGATGGATTTTCTCTTGGTGATATAGTCCGCGTGAAAAGCGATCTAACTGCCGTGAAACAATATCAACGTGGCCATGGTGAATGGATAGACGTCATGAAAAATGTTAGTTGACAATTTATATGCTTGTTTTTAATTTAATATGGCTATATATAGAAGTGACAGACGTTTGATATCGGATTTATACTTATCGCAGGCTCTAGGAAAGACTGGGAAGGTGATTAAAATCTATTCCGATGGCGACTTACGTGTGGCGTTGGACATACATGGTCATACATGGACATTTAATCCGCTAAGTGTTGTCCCGGTATCTTCTGGCACAAATGCTATGGCTGCCACGCACGATAATGCAAACAAGAGCAGAGATCGTTCGGGTATGTTTATTTTTATTATATACATGAATTTTTGTTAATAGAATGTTAATAATAGAATATTAATAGAATATTAATAAGAAAAAAGGTATCAAATTTAAAGTTAAATTGATATCAAAGGGAGATTAATTTTTATTATGCTGTGTATAAAACAAGACCATCTGTTATAATTTATTCTCGTAGTCGACGGTACCGACAGTGAAGTGGAAAAGCTGTTAAGGGATGCGGCTAGAGGCGAAGCTGGAGTGGACGCAGTACGAGAATTCCTCAAGAAATACCCTGGCAGAGTAGATGCGTGTGCTCCTGGCGGTGGCAGAAAAACGTGCTTGCAAGTGGCTGCTCACCAAGGTCAGCGCGAGCTCTGCACTCTCCTTCTGGACGCTGGTGCTTCTTTGCGTGCTGTCGATGAGGACGGAGATACGCCTTTGCATTATGCAGCATTCGGGTATGTTGGAAATTGTTACCGCATTTTTCGCAAAATTAACTATATTGTTTCCTCTTTTGATTAAACAGAAATCAACCAGAGATAATGGATATATTATTATCGCGAGGTGCAGCTATCAATGCCGTTAATAACGGCAGATGTAGCGCTTTGCATGTGGCAGTTAATAAGCAGCATGTGCAATGCGTGAGAGTTCTATTGCGTTATCATTGCGACGTCAACCTCCAAGACTCGTACGGCGATACAGCGTTGCACGACGCGATAGGAAAGGATGCGCTAGATGTGATCGACGCGTTATGTGCCTGCGAGAGGGTTGACTTCACGCTGAGGAACAAACGGGGTTTCAATATCTTGCATCATGCTGCACTTAAGGGCAATGCTCAGTATGTGTATAAGATACTTAACAAGTATAATCTCATAGCGGTCATGTCTGCATAATAGCTTGGCCGTACTTAAGATTCATCTGGTTCATCCAATTTAAATATAATTAAAGTGCCTATATATTATTTAATTTACTTTGTGAACCTATGAATTTGCAGTGCAACAGAGAGGCTGGTTGCGCGCGCGCGTCACTTGGTAGACGTGAAAAAGGAAGATGGATTTGCAGCATTACATCTAGCGGCGTTGAACGGACACAAAGAAGTTGCGGCTATCCTTCTCTCGCAGAATGGTGGCCGCGCCAAAGTGGATCTGTGCAACAATCGGCGGCAAACGCCGTTGCATTTAGCAACTTCGCAGGGACATTGGTCGCTCGTTGAACTGCTGGTGCATCATAATGCGGATATCGGCAGCACGGATGAAGACGGCGACACTGTGTTACATATCGCGATAGCAAAGAGCCCGAATCAACAGACTGCTGTACCTACACCCGAAAGTAGCCAGGATTCACCACTTTTGTATGCTGTATGTTGTTCAAAGCTTGCTTTTGAATTAATCTTTTGTCTCTCTCTCTCTCTCTCTCTCTCTCTCTCTCTCTCTCTCTCTCTCTCTCGCGACAGATGTATGGTCACAACTTCTCGTAATGCATCATTTTTTTTAACTTCAACAAAAGATCTTTTTAATTCATAAAATAATACCAAATTATGATTCATTTTCAAGAAAATTATTACGTTATCAAATATAAGACAGCACAACTCTCTCCTTCTCTTCTCCTAGGCGGAGAAGTCACTCCTCTTTCTTTCTCTCTTACTCCTCTAAGAAAAAAGTTAAAAATGATGCATTGCAAAAAGTTGAGACATTGTGAAACAGAGGTAATTAAATAAAGTTCCTTCATTATTTTTGCAATGTAGTTTCTATTTACGTTTTTTTCTTAAATGAAATTGAAACTTTTAAAATTATTATGTATACCTATATTTATGATTTGAGAAGAAAAGAAAATGAAAAAAGAAAGGATAACTTATTAATTTAGCAGTCTTTTCTAATGAATATTTTCTTCTTTCGAACAGATCTGGCAGAACCTGGCAAGGCAAGGCGCAAAGACTGAATTAGCATTAGCTTGTTTTTTGATAAGCGTGGACAGGAGTTGCAAACTCCTTGAACAAGTCAGAAACAACAAGGACAAGACGGCGCTCGATCTTTTGGAAAGCAATCCACAGGCTGCCCTGCTCGCTGATCTTTTACGCTCTTACAAATACCAAAGTCACAGCACGCAATTAGAGTAAGACAAGATACGAGTGTTCTAAATGATCCGCAAGTCGAAATGTAAATTTTGACTGAAACGTAACTTTAAATTGATTTTACATTTTAAAAACTGATTTTGCAATGCGTTTTTGGAATTACTTAATTGATTTAGAGTTTATCAACAAACGTATGGAAAATATAATTCGTTTTGCAGAATAGAGAATAATCCATCGCCTGGTTACGTAGAGCCACCTGCATATCGGATAGATAATATATCACAGTCAGAAGGATTGCATGTTGCGAAGAAGAATATAACCGGTTCCGGCGACGCGGCAGAATGTCGAGATTGTTCGGGGATTATAGAAAACACAAAACAGGAGAATCGAATTGATCCTAGCAGTAGCGTTACGCTCGTTGGTTGTGCACGTTGTGGCCATACGCAAACAATTCCAGGTATATGATTTTTTTTTTATTGATCTCTTTGTATAAATTGATTAAATTGATCAAGAAATCTTGGTGAAATTGATCTCAAGGAATTATTAAGTATTTTCTGTATCAATGAAATATTCTGCATAACAAATTACAATTATAAAGAATCGTGTGGAAATCATACGAATATGTTTTATATTTTTACATATATATGTTTTATATTTTTCTAGATGGTCAGCTGGCGACAGGTGAAGTCTCTATAGCCAATTCGGAGGATAAATCGAAGGACGTATCTTCAGAAGGCAAACGAAAGGAGGAGATCAGTGACAAGGAAAAAGAGAAGGACAAAGATCTAGAACGGCTACGTTATTTGGAGACTAGAGTCGCGGATCTCGAGGAGGCGAATATGTGTAGCATCTGCATGGAACGTCGTCGTAACGTCGCATTTCTTTGCGGGCATGGTGCGTGTGAGCACTGCGCCGCTCCGTTGAAGACTTGTCACATGTGCCGCAAGACGATCACAAAAAAGATTAATTTATATTAGAAGTTCGATCGATTACCATACGTTTATGTCGGAACATTGATTTTCACGCGGTATACAGCATGTGTCACGAGAGGAAAAGTCGATATCAGTGATAATAATAGTTAAATAGTTCTTAATGTTTAAATTTAAACAATTTAGATTACGCAACTCAGAACGAGAGACAGAGGAATTTCTTTACTCGCTATGTCGCACGGTTCCTCTCGAGACATTCTGTTTGTTTGCCCAACAGAAAATTTTGTCATTCGCCATGTCGGCATAGGAAAATGTCCATCAATTGATCGTAACGATGCGTACGTTACGTCTCGCGCTGATGAAATTAAACTGCCAAAATGTATATTTTATTTCTGCGAATAGTTTGTACGAAAGGGAAAAAAATGAAGCTCTCTTATATTGCACTAACATCGTGCCATAGCGAGATAGGTTTGCGCACAACATGATAATCGTATTTGCCTGGACACGAGATATTTTGATCTTTTGTTATTTTTTTGTTTTTCTCGGCAATTAGTTAAATCGGTTATATTAAAAATTAATTAATACCAGTACCGAGGAGGGAGGGGGGGAAGGGAGGTGATGTCTTGTGTCTTGACAAACACGCACGACGTACGATTGTATGTACATCGTTTACGCTTTCCTTTCTCATGAATCGGCGTTTTCGTCTGTGCTTTATCCCGTCCATTTTTTATTCATGTTTAAAGAGAGCGCGGATGACGAGCACTGAAAGAGCAAACTTCTTATCTTAAGATAGGAAACATGCGCGATCGTGTTATGCGATAACAATCATCAGAAGCTCGTAGAAACATTCGTACATATCGCTACATTATTGCGAGAAGAAAAAAGAATACTGTTTCACGTATTCGAATTCCTGTTGCTTCCGCGCAGTAGGAGGGAAGGGGGCACATTTTGATAGTAAAATTTTTTAGACTTTTTAAAATAGATTTTTGCTGAAAAACCTATATTGGTTAAGTTTCAGCTATTTTTTAAAAGTTATGTTAATAGTATAACTTAAAATTTCGTTACTTGATGACGTGGCAAGACTCAATATTTGATACGGATTAAATATTATCATGAAGGAATGTTTTCAATGTTTCAAAGAAATGTTTTGTTAAAAAAAAAAGTATCTTTTGATACTTAATATTCAAATTATGGGAATCTGATGCGGTGTTTAATGTATCCCCTTTTCTCCAATCATGTTCGCATCGTTCGATAAACGTTCTGCGTAACGAATAACACGCTAAAGGGAAACATACAGTCTTATAGCCAAGTTTTCTAGGTAGAATAATTGTATACTCGTTTGTATAAAGTGATTCATTTGTGATCGAATGTGACAGCAGTGGAACCAATTAATTTTAAGCGTGCTTCCCGTCATGAACGCACTTTCAAGCAAAAGGAAAGCAATGCGTTCGCATGTAATAAAGAAGCTGATTGTTGAGGTACAAGCTTAATTATTAACGCGAGAATCTATTTTTTGATGATTCTCAAATTACAAGAGAAAGAAACTTTATGGATGTGTGATTTCTGGAAGAATTTTTTTTCCATCAGTATTAAAGTCTTGCCTTTCTACTCAACACAACGAAAAAAAACTTGTACTCGAGGTGCATAAAAAGTTGTATGTAACACGAGTCGCGTAAATGTACTTCGGAACGTATCAGAGGATTCTGATCAATCGATTTTTACGTCGGTTAGCGTAATTTTTACACTGGTGACTGGAGGAATCGAAAATGATTTTTATGGGTTATTGTACACTGGGGCGAGAGCGGTCCTTTCAGGGTAACACATCGCGAATTTTACGTTCACGAGGAGAAACATACAATTTGCGATAGTGCCAATTTGATTTCGTCAGGATGATATTAATTTTCTTCCTTATTTACCCCTCTCTTTCTCCCTTTTTTTATAATAGCCATATTGTCGTTTTAGATATATGCGGCGTATGTATTACGAAAGATGTTATATTACGATAAAACTACAGCGTAAATTTTAAGCGTCGATAGATTTCTACAATTGTAATTTAAGGCATAATTTAAATAAACAATTTGACGGTAAATGAACTTTAATCTAATTTAATGTGCCCTTCATATACGTTTTTTTTTTCCCTTTAAACTTCATGGAATAATGCGAGAGATTTCTCTTTCACACTGCTTATTTAAGTGTTATTGATAAAAATTATAGATACGAACAAGATACGAAGTAGCGGTAACAAGAACAACAAACTCGTATAACGTAGACACCAGACATCTCACGCAGTCAAACGAGAAGCGCAAAATAAACTTGTCCTTAACTTAGCAAGCAATCTTATTTATTTTGGTACTCGATAAAGGTTCCGATAGTCGTATATTACAATATTGAGCCAGTTTTGCAAAAATTGTAATAGCGGTATACTAATGATATATAATAATGTAATAATGGTAATAATATTTTCTTCTCCTAAAGTAAACCTAAACGCAATGTATTCTATTAATAGTATGTGACACTGTGTATTATCTGTAGTACCTAATTAACTTAAACTTAAATCGTGGGGCCGTAGCACAACGTGCAATACGATCACGTAATGCATTTCATCTGTGTTAAAATCTTACGTCGCTTTCTTCGATTCGCGTGGATCTTATCCCTTCCTATCTTATTCCCCTTCCTTATCGTCTCTTCGAAGAATAATGCATGTGAGATCCTGATAAAGGGTAACCAAGCATCAAGATATGATTGATCAGAGACTAAGAAATATTTCATCATGTGTGTCATATGTTTCGTAAGAATTAAACATACTATTTTCAACTCGATATTGAATCGCTTTGCACTTCACTTAGATACATGGTTTTCCCTATTTTTGGATCTATACATCACATACAACGTAAAAAATAATCTTTCATTTCTTTTGTTTCTTTCTTTCATTTTTTCATTTCTTTTATTATTCATTTTTCTTTTATTATTTTTTTTTTAGTAATTCATAAACGCGATCAAATTAAGATAATGTATTTACGAAAATAAATAATACAGATTTCTCTGGAATATTGATTGAATAATACATATCGAAGAAAGAACAAACGTATAGGAAAAATACTGAATAAAACGATACTTTTGTGTTTCGTCAAATTGTAAAGACAATTGAATGAAGAAAACACAAACTTTCATTTTGTTCACTTTACTCTCATTTAGATCTTATTCTTTTGCATTGTTACTTTACATTTCAAACGAGTAAAGTGTACAATACACTATCAATATACAAACATTGCTGGTAATTGACGAAATCACCTAAGATTTTTAAATGGAAAATACCCCAACGCGTACATCATTCGCGAATGCGTTAGTGTAATTTTAATTCGAAGAAGACGTTGGAAAGTGCACTTGCTACTAACAAAAACAAATTACGATAATTTATATCAATCAGGACGCGAAATACAACTTTGCACTAATTCCGTCGCGCGCGAGTTACCGTGACATTTCTTTTTTTTCTTATTTCAAGAATAATAGCGGTTTCATGTAAAGTGCACAGCAAAACGCGAGATTTACCGTTGCTTCTCTCGCAACTTCTACGAGTAATCAAAGTTCTATTCGCATCTACGTATAAGACTTCAAGTGCCCGATAGCGAAAGAATTGTCAAGAGAGAGCGTAGTAAACGCGCACAGACGAAACTATGGCGATCCTGCCTCCCATTTCTTCCCTTGAACGCGTGCAGCGTATTTATCGGCGAGTTTTACTTCTAACAGGAAGTTCCTTAACAGGATTCCTTAATAGGTAGCCTTAATAAGAGCTTTTGCTCTCTATTTTTTTTTCTTTTTTTCTCTCATTCTCTCACTCTCTCCCTCTCTCTCTCTCTCTCTCTCTCTCTCTCTCTCTCTTTCAGAACAATTCATCGACTTCCCGATGTCGATGTATAGATACGTAAAACCGTCACACTGATTCATTCGCCGAGCGTAATTATTGTCAACTACGATCAAGTCCTGAGTCCGGCCAAACACTGCGAGATCACCGTTTTATTAATGTTGGGAAACGATAGTCATAGGATACCCAGTATTTCGTTACTCTAAATACATACAATATAATGACAATATAATGATATATATATATATATAATATATGTATAATATACATTTTATTATAGCGGTAACACTATATATTGCCTAATATATAGCTCCACGCACGACCAGTTTTATAGACGTCCAAAATGCCCCATTGCGCTCCTACAATGTTTCACATGTCATCATGGGAAACGTTTATGTAATGATAGTAATGCGTTGTCATTGTACACTGATGATAATAATAAGCAAACGCGATTGAGTTAAAATGATGGTCCATGGATGAATTGTAAGTGATTTTTTGTGGGATGACTAATGCAATGCATGTTATACCGCAAAAAGATACCGATCTAAAAACAAACTAAAAAGAAAAGAGAAATTCTTGAATCCTTACCTTTGAAAAGAAACGTATATGAAAAACTAGAGAAATAGTGTAGTATATATTACGTATATATATTACGTATATATATTACGTATATATATTACGTATATTATAATACGTCCCTAATTTTTCGTGTATATACGTTTTTTTCTAAGAATAGGATCCTAAAACCATGATATACTCCAAAGACAAAAAAAAAGATATAAAAAAAATGTTATTCAAAGAATAGTTTCGAGTGCTATACAAAAAAGAAAGGATATTCGATTGGAATTCATCTTTCGATTCATCAGCTAGTGAATCCTCGCAGATTACGTCTATTTGCATAAAGTAACGCAAATCGGAGAAAGCGAGACACTTGCATAATACAGAGAGAAACTCAGTGGATTCACGGTAATGATCGAGACCGTGTACGGGGTATCAACGAGAACGAGTGTCGAATCAAATGTTTAAAACGTTTTGCAGCGTTTGGTTGCGCGGGACGAGAGTTGTAAGGAACAAGTGTAACTGCGCGATAGAACACGTTCGACTCTGCATTTTCTTCCTTCGGAATAAATCAGTGCGATAGGTAGAAACGAAAACGGACAATCATACTCTATGTATATGAATATAGAAGATATTACTGTGCCGTGAATTGACTGTTAGTGACGTGGTATTTAAGCTACGACCGGTTCGGGGCTACACGGTTGAAGCTCCGGTTCGTTCTGCGGCTCCGCGCTGTTAGTAGTGGTGGTGGTGCTCGAGGTCGCAGTTGACGTGTTCGGCTCGTGGTTCGGATCGGCGGGAGTCATCGCAGCCCACTGTGTGGTATACGGTGCTGCTCGCGCCTGTCGCCTGGCTTTTCTCTTAGCACGACGTTGTTCCATGACTAAGCGCAGCCGACGCATCTTGCCCTTCGTTGCCTCGTTCTCCTTTGATAATTCTTCTACATTCCAAACATCACACGGCGCATTAACAGAAATTAATGAGGTATTAAGATAAAAGTTTCTAGATATTTTTTTAAAATAAAAATAGTGACGTGTTATGTTATAATTATTATAACAATACAAGGCACGTTAAGTATAAAAATAATTAAACATATATAATATAATTTAATTCTATATTTAGTACCTTGAATATTAAATATATTATAAAATATTTTTCTTTGTTTTATTATTTAAAAGTATTATTCGATATAAATTTATAAATGCACACCACTGGAGTAGCCTGGTGTGGAATCATGACAGCCGACCGACGAAGTAGATCCACTCGCTGTAGTTGTAGTGCCCGCGGAAGACGCGGACATCAAGGAAGATTGCTGGCGAGTATGCGAATGCCTGTGATGATGATGCCTATAGTGGCCTGCGGATGCGGCCGGTGTCGCGCAGAGCAAGTCATTCAGGATGTGAATGATGGTGCTAATGTCCCGCTTCGGCCGACCGTGTCTATCCTGGAGGGCTGGGTTCAGAGTGCCGCTAAACGTGCCGGAATACACACCTTTGCCATGATGATGCATACTCTCTATTATTGCGCCTTGCCTGCGTCTCGCGTTCTCCTAAATTTAAAGAGATACGTAAGATTCTGCACGTTCTATCTATTGATACGTCCTTAGTTGCCTTCGTACTTATGCACGATGACGTACAAAACACTTTTCTAATAAGAAGAGAAGATTTCAAAAAAAGAAAAAAAAATTTACATATCGCTTTAGAAATATGTTATTTTCGTATTTAAAAGCTCAAATAAGTTGTCAAATTGGTGTGTTTTGTTATATCCTACCTTCCCTTCTCTGTTATATTTTTCAAATTTCTCATTTTTTAAAAGTTTAAAAATTTAGAAATGTTTTAAAAAATTCATAAGTGTATGTTACGTTATTATTTAAGAAAATCAGAACGTTATGGAAAAATTGAATTCAATCTTATGAGACTCTGTTTAAGCTTACGAACATGAAATGTAATTAAATAATGAGGTGTTAAGTTTATTTATATGAAATTATGTAGTTCCAAAATATAAATTTTACACACGTAATGCTAAACTTAAAACTATGTTTCAAATATAAAATCAGTATTAATATAGTAATATTAATTAAGAATACACATCATAACAGAACATTAAAATTTGAATGTTATTAAAATATAGTTAAATATAATATAAATATGATAAATTTAAGGACCTGAGAGTATTTTGTGAGCAAGTGTTTCATATTTTGAAAATTTTATCCAGTCAAGAAATAAATTTAGTATCATCGAAGAATTCTATCCAATAAATAAGTAGTCCAATTCAAAAAGAGACCAAATCAGGCCAAACAATTCAATTCGCGACCAATCACGGCGCACCTCTTAGGACCTTGATCGACGTGCAATCACGAATATAAATCACGAATAATGATACACAGGGGGAACTGGCTTCGGTAACAATGTATACCTCTGCGAGGTCGACCCGCGAGGTGAGTACCTCAGAGGAGAGCTGCTTCAGCTTCTGAGTAAGGTTCCGAGATGCCTCGGCGAGCGCTCGAGTGTCGAGGGTGGCGGGCTTGGGTGGCGATTGCTCCAGCATCAGCGATGAGGCGCATGTTGGGCTCTGCGGATTAGATTCCTCGTGTTGACTCCTCGTGGCGTCCATGCCACTAGTGGTAACAGACGATGATGGCTGGCCATGATGATGGTGGCCGCTGCAGAGCTTCTTCCTGGGTAGCGTCGCGTCGTAGGACATCGGCTCCAAGGCAGACTGCTCCTGAATCGGAGACGAACCCGAACTGAAGGAAGAGGAAGAAGAGGAAGTGGAAAGGTTGGGCAAGCTAGGTTTGTTCCTCGAATGATGATGATGATGGTGATGATGGTGGTGGTGATGATGGCCATGGTGATGACCGTGGTGATGGCCGTGATGATGATGGTGGTGATAGAGCGGGCAGGGCTGGCACGCGTTGGAAGAACTGCCATTCGTAGGTGGAACGTTATGCGAATTGCCACGCGTAGATTGCGATTGACCCGAATTGCTGCTGGACGACGACAATGAATGCGCCGGGCTAATTGGCACCGTCGAGACGGATGAAGAGGATGTTGTAACCCGGCTGGAACATACCGGGCTGGTAGTCGTAGTGGTAATGCTGGCGGTAGGTAAGCTGCTGCTGTTGCTGTAACTGGCGGCTGCGTGTAGGGCGCTGGCAAGGCTACTAATTAGATGCGACGTTCTGCCAGCCGGTGCCCCGGTAGCGTTCTGCGGCTTAACAATATTTCCCGGTGATCTAGCCGTCAGGCATCTTCTGGTTTGCAACGACGAATGACCGCCAGACGAATTGGACATGCTCGTGGTATTGCTACTATTGGGCAAACTAGCAACGTTACTGCTATTGTTGCTGCTACTGCTGCTGTGGTGACTATGGCCGTTACTGTTGGCAGAGCTCGCCTGACTGGCGGTCGGCGATGTCGGGGTTACGGTGGACAACTGCAGCTGGATTAACATCATGTGATCGCCTAGTCGCATTGTAAGATTAAGTGGTGCCTTGCCGGATAAGAAGTCATTCACCTGTGAATCATTGAGGCTCTCTAAGGCCTGCATTACACTCTGCTCCGGTCGTTGCGCCTGAAACAATAGGAGAGGATCGTTATTTCAGAAATGATAACGGTTCGACTGCGTATTTGATGTCGCTATCGAGAGACGTATGATCAATGTGAGAAACCGCTTACTTGCGTCTTCAAGATAACAAACGATGCGACGCAATGTAATAGCTTATTACAGTGCATTTTTTTAATAACATAATTATTAATATACTAATTATATGTACAAGTTGGCTAAAATTCCCAACAAAATAACAGTATTATAAAAATTATTATAGCACTGTGTAAAATAATGCCACTGTACAGTAATATTTACAGTACTATAATATTAATTAATCTTTTATGCAACATTTTTTACTTAATTTGAACACAATCTGAAAAAGACATGATATATTATTTAAATTTAAAATAAATGTATTGTATAAGAATTATTACAATACTATAAAATAATATTATAAGATTTATATTATTATTTTAAGATGAGAAAAAAAAAGTACAATCTCTTTCAAGAAATTCATTGTCAACGGACAATGTTTATTATTTGACTGTGTTAGATCCGTATTTTGATGATAATTGTGACTCGTTCATAATAACATGAAGAGAAATATCGATTACAATATTATATATAGTATTAATAAGGGAATTCTACATCTATTCAATACATAACACAATTTTCCATTTTGCGCTATCACTTGTCGATTATAAAGAGAAACACACCTAATTAAGCAAAAATTGGAATTACGTTATGACGATAACTTTGGAATTACCTTACTCTAATACAAGATAAACTTAGTCTTCATTTAATTAGTTCTTGCGTCATTTATGAAGTTTATCTTTCCAATTTATTCATCCACAATTAGTTTAGTAATCTTTAGCTTTACATTAATAATTCATTCTTAATTCCCTGCAGCGTTTCAAGAATATTTACGAAATAACGTTTGATTCGAATGCGATGAAGTATATTTTTCCAATTTATTCATCCACAATTAGTTTAGTAATCTTTAGCTCTACATTAATAATATTCATTCTTAATTCTCTGCAGCGTTTCAAGAATATTCACGAAATAACGTTTGATTCGGATGCGATTTTCAGAATATGTATTTTTCCTCCTTTTTTATGATTGAATAATAATAGTATCGGTTTTTTCCAAGTGTTACCGGTACAAGATGAGACCGTGGTGCGAGATAGAAGACGCGAGAAGACCTGCAGAAGAGAGGAAACCTCGCGGAATCGAGGCTCAGACCCTCGACGAGCACAGTTAGGCATCCCTCATGCACACCTAACGGACTTCCTTTCGCCGGACGCGGTCATCGTCGGATTCGGTAATTCGATTCACGGATTCGGTCTGAGGAAAGTCCCGGGACTTCGCGGGAATCGCGCACGACTGTGTTGCAAAGTCTATCAAAGTCTATCAAAGTCGTTTCTTTTAAGAAACCAATGAAGAGACCTTTCTCTTTGCAGCTTCGAAAAAGCAGTCGATAAATAAAAACACAAACATCATAAAACGAAGTTTATACACAGATACCGGAAATTTATTAAATAAACACGGAAAGAACGAGTTTGCTGAAATATCTAAAAATTTAGCTGAATATAAATCTGAGAATAATTTTGTTGAACCATCAAAACATAAGAATTTCAAGTATGATAATTAATGTTGTAAAAAAATGTTTGACATTCTGGCCACCAGCCTGAACATTCTACGTAGGATAAGTATGCCATTGATAGATCGGTGCAACGGATGAACTAGTTAAATATTTTTATTATTATACGTGATGTCGTCGCGCCATTTGTGGTGGAGAAATTATAAACTAGTAAAGAAACAGCCGCCATGTTAATTACACTCAGACAGGCGCAGCAAAGACGCTGCAATTTCGCAAGATACATTTCGCAAGATGCATCTTTGTGCATTTCTTATTTTTCCCGATTTTGCAAAGATTACTGAAACTATTTAATGGAAATATATTTTATTATCTTATTAAAGTTGAAGATATACGCTTTAAAATAGGATTTTACTCTCTACTTTCGGCAACTATTTACACTTATGCACAGGATTATAGATTATGTGATAATTGATACATTTCCATAAATGGACCACATTGCAAGGTCATGAATGGACTAATGGTTGAACCATGGCACATTGTGTGAAACAAATAAGTATGGCAATTATAGTCATAAGAAATGTTTGCCAATCCAGTAATGAAGCATAAGACAGTTCTATGTGTAATTATTTGTTTTATTATATAATTATTTTATGTTTCATTATAAAAGTTTATATTATATTTTATTATTTTACGTAGACTTACGTAAAATACGTAGAATTTTATATGATAGAAGCAATTGATACCTAAATGTTTATCTTATTTTATAATTTTTTCGATTATTTTATATAAAATATGTATTGTTTAGTTCATAAATTTTAAAATTTGTATACGTAAATATAAGAATTCTTTATAAGAAAAATGACTTTAATAAACATTATATTTAAATTTTATTATTTGACCCAATATTTTGAAATATAATTGTTTAATATTCGATTTTTAGGTAGTGACATTCAATGATAATCGGTGATCTATCCATGGCAACATAATTCAATGATCATAAAAAATAAAGTAATAATATAAATTCTCATTCTAGTCTCACAAGATGAATACATTGTTTTTCACGGGTAATATCCTGAAAGTAAAAGATTTTCGAAAGCACTGTACAATTTGTTTTTCGGCGTAAAAATATGTTATGAATTAATTAGCTTAGGGGGTCCACACATTGAATGGCGTACTTACCCTAATTATTTTGATGGTTCACTTAAATTATTTTCATATCTGTATCTGGCTAAATTTTTAGACAGTTCAGCAAAACCGTCCTGAAATTAATTTTTTATTAACGCAAATCAAATGTCAAAGACCACATCTCAAAATATTTTCAATTTTTTCGATTAAATCTTGGTATTAAATGTCATATTAAAATTCTATTTAAAATAAATGTTTAATAAAGTTTGTTTATTTGAAGTTAAATGAAGAATTTACCTATTTGTGCACATTAAAGTAAAATTCGTGGGCAGCTAAATAGATTTTTGACTCGAAAAAGATCCTCTGCATAGGCATGTTTATTTTTTGATAAATCTCGTAAAAAAAAATTTCTTGTTATTTTCTTTTCTTTATTATGAATATTTCTTTGCAATTTCAATATTATGAGTCTCTCTTTGAAAGAGAAATTAAAAATAATCCTAAAATGCTCCAAAAAAGTAAATTAGAAAGATACGTGATATCAGATTAATACTATTTTACGGAATTAAATGTCTTTTTTCCGAGTTTTTTTTATCATTCCATTTAACGTAACAATGACAAGGATGTAGGAAGAATTTCAACAGGACAAAACCTTTTTATCCGTTAACAATCTATCACGATCAAGTTCGATGGGCAAAAATACAGCGTAAAAGTGCCACATAGAAGAATGCGACCTTCACGCGTGCCTGCGTATCACGTTCTTAATAATCTACAATTTTTAACGCAATCGAGTGCCCGTTCACGCATCTGAACAAACAGAATGCTATCGCTTCTACAACGAGCTGAACAAAATTATCTCAGGAATCTGTCCCTCTGCGTCAATATCCGTAGGTTGCGATCGGTGGATAGCGGAAGAGAGTCGCGAATGTTAAATTTACTCGCCTTATGTCGTCGTGCGCGACGCTATAAATTATTAATCTAGCCGACGCTAAATATAAGAAATCGACCCCGCCGCGCCGCTTGCACATGCGATCGTCGTATCCGATGTTGCAACGAACTGCAAGCGAAAACGGTGCTGCTCGAACGAGCCATCGAACCGATGCGTTTGCTCCACGTGTCGCATTAAACTCTATTCATGGCAAAGGACAAGATACCGGTATCAGTTGTTCGCAGTGCCAAAGCGAAATAGGAAATATGTATGGCGTACCAACTTTCGTTATATGTATATGTGTACATAAGATGTTCCAAATCGTCATATCTTTAAATGCCTGCGCTGTTTACCGCGAATTTCCTCCTGCATTTAAAAATCTATTTTTTTTTATTTGTCGAAAAAAAATAGATTGTGTTACATGTTAAATATCTTCTCAATATCATCTTTTAATACAAAAACGTGAAAAATTTTTAATTAAATATAAATTTTAATATAAATGTAAATACAATATATATATAACGAAAACATTTAAATGTATCGTGTAATATAATTTTACACTACAACTTTCTCGGTGAACATCTATGTCCGTTTTCGTGAAATTAATTTTAATTTCAGTTCAACTCACTCTTTATTTTTTTCCATTTCTATAATATACTGATAAAAATGTTTGGTTCAGTATGGACGAACTAGAAAATTCTGATTATATCAATTGGATTTCTGGTTATCTCAAGAATCTCTAAAATTCTAGTAGATTTGACCAGAAAATTCTGATTCGTCTATTTTCAATAATTTCACAATTTCAATTAATTCAACTCGATATTTTTCTCAATGTAAGAATTAGAAAAAGAATGACAAACGGACATTATTTGAATAAACAATATATTCCAAAGAACCTGAAAAACAGAAATTTTGCAGAAATTGACAAACCGATCAATCTATCTCTTCGAGCAGCTTTAAGATCTCTTTTAAAAAAAAAAATTATACTGTACATATTTATATATTCTTCTTGTATATTCTTTAGGCTGCGCAAGTCGTCTTCGCCTCCATCGCGAAATCGGGCGCTCTTTCGATCGTTCGTGAGCGGAGTGTGTCCCAAGCCTGATCTCGTCGCTCGGAGAAACGCTCTTGCAAAACGATTAACCAATCGAGCTCACTCCCCGCACCCAATCTCGCCTGAGTCTCCCACAGCGAACTTCCTCGGTGCGGCAACGATCGATCGGATGCGGGACTCGTGAATCGCGATGAACCGTTTAAGAATTACGAAGTGGCTCCGACTAGCTCTTAAAATTTCTCTAGAAAGAATTATTTTGTACGTACGAACTTGACTTTCTCAGTTGAACAATAAATTTTTCCAAGAATTTCTTAAAAAGT